AAGATGATCTATTGTCTTTTACACAAGGAGGATACATTAACCATCGACTTAATCGGCCCCAGACAAGGGCAAGCCCCTTCCAGACCCTGCAGCTAGACCCTAATACAGACATCTTCAGTCCTATAAGAAGTCACATCCCAGATATGAATGTCAGTAATAGGGGTGATCCAGTACGAAGGAAGCCACAGGAATTCGATGGGAAGGCACCGTGGGAAGCATATAGAGCACAATTTGAGCTACTGGCAGAGATGAATGGACGGACAGAGGAGCAGAAAGCAGTATATCTGGCAACGAGCTTGAAAGGACAACCACTGGAAATACTTGGACAGTTGTCAGCAGACGACAGACACAACTATAGAGCACTGGTAGCGGCTCTAGAGCTCAGGTACGGAACCCAAAATCAGTCAGAAGTCTACAGAGCTAGGTTTAGGATGAGAGTCCGTGCTAAAGGGGGGAGTCTGCAAGAGCTGGCACAGGACTTGGAAAGTATGGCACACAAGGCCTACCCAACTGCACCACCCAATCTCCTCAAGTTGTTGCTGAGGGATCAGTTTGTAGATGCCTTGGACAGTCCACAACTAAAGATACAAGTAAAGCAAGCACACCCCTCTACTATGCAGGATGCAATGGCCCGAGCTCTTGAATTCGAATCCTACGTTAAGTCTAGCACAGAGGTACCAAAGTTGGTACAGTCATCAGGATTCAAGGCCAGAAAATGGCAGCTTTCAGAGAAGTTTGACGGACTTTGCTAGTACTGTAACAAACCTGGGCACAAGAGAGAGCTCAATGCCGGCAACTTCAACACAGGGAAGATGCCACAGCAGAAAAGGCTGCAACCCAGAAAGGTTGTTTGGAACTGTGGAGAGCAAGGAAATATGAGGAGCCAGTGTAAGAAGAATACTACCAATAAGTCAGCCTCAGGGAAACCAGTAGTGGTTGGTGTTGAGGGATGCCCATCAACCCCCATCGTGAAATTCCCAACAGCTAAGTGTAAAATGGCAAGCACACGCAGTGTCTTCATGACAGGAAGGCTGGATGGCCAAAAGTGCAACTTTTTCATAGATTCTGCATCTCAGCAAACCCTTGTGAGTATCAAGGTGCTGGATCACAAAGGAGTATCAGAAGCCATACAGAAGCTCTGTGGTGTGACAGGACATTATGCAAGGTTGTGGGGACTAGTGTGGGTAACTATTGAGTTCATGGGCATAAAGGACAGACATAAAGTATACTTGGCTGACATTGAAGACCCATGCATATTAGGGTTGAACTACTTACTACAGAGGAAGTGTGTAGTTAATTTTGATAAAATGACGTTTGGGAACAATAAAAGCCAAATTCTGGTAAGTGTTAAAAGAGAGGTTGAACTAATTAGGTGTCATCAAGCTGAAGTCAAAGTGACTGAAGGAGTTGATGATGGTGAAATGGAACCAGGTATAGATATTAAATCAGAGCATGAAGCCACTGGATACACTACAGCAAAGTTGATGTTTGGTCAGGAACTTCGGTTGCCAGTGGATCTGTTAACAAGATGCCCACCTTATGAAGAGTTGCCTGAAAATGTGTCAGAGTTTGTGAAAGTGTTATCAGAAAAGATGGATGATATTCACCATCAAGTGTGTTCAAACTTGAAAACGTCTGCTGATTCGATGAAGTTATCTTATGATAAGAGATCTACTGAAGTCAGCTTTGTACCAGGAGACAAGGTGTGGTTGTATAATCCCAGGAAGACCAAAGGAAAGTCTCCTAAGTTGTTTTCTCCATGGGAAGGCCCATATGATATAATGGATCGTCACTCAGATGTGACTTTCCGGATAAAATGTGGTCGGCGAGGTAAGGCAAAGGTGGTGCATGCCAACAGGCTTTGGCATTATCACTGTCCAGGACATTTCAATTGGGACGAAGTGAACATCGGAACAAATGATGCTGCTGAAGACGTGTCACCTGAAAAAGCCACTGTCGAAGAAAGAACTCTACTCGGTTTTGAAAAGGGAAAAAGCGAAGCCTTTGATGAAGTTACTACCACTGATGTGACTGTTACCGATGATAGGACATTTCCTGATGAAGCAGATGAACCCCACATGAAGCAGAAGCCAATGAGACGGAGACCAGTACAGACTTTGTTGAATTTTAATTTTGTGTTTGTAAATTCTGTACATTTAATTAAGTTTTTGGTAATTGTTTATTGGTTTAATGTAAGTGGCTATTGTTCGGGACAAACAATACTAAGGAAGGGGCAGTGTTACGACAGCGGAAGTCACGTGATGCTAGTAACACGTCATGAACTTCTAGAACTTTC